AATGTATCCAAATTTCTTTGTATATCTTTAGTTGTTATTATCTGTTTGTTGGTTAGAAGTTGATGATGCGTTGGCTCAAGGTGATGACGTTCACAGGCCACAGAGGCCAAAGAGGCACGTCAAGGTGGCCAGTGTGTTTAAATCCCCTTTCAAACAGAGGGTGACCTGATAGAATTGGATTTAACTTTATTCGAAATAAATCGATTAATCCTAAGAGCGTTCATATTGAATAGTTGAGAATCAAACTGAAGAGCGGAAGCGTACCTGATGGATTCATGTTGATTGATCTCACTGGAATTGAATTGGGATTTTGGGTTTGGAATTTGGAGTTCTTCTAAAAGCCGTGAACTGTAACCTCTCCTCTTCTGACGTAATGAAGAATAAAATTGATGGAGAGAGTGGGGAAACCCTATGGTTTTTATTCTTCTCATCACTTTTTGAAGAATTGCAAAAAGAACCCTTTTTATTTATCACGGTTTTGGGGACTGCACCCATTATTAATTTTGACCCAAATTATTTGCTAATTAGGTCCTTAAGTGTAATATTATTATTTGTTACGTCACCAAATAATAATATTACCGGGTGTCCACATTTAATCATTCCACAATCTAAATTAAGTTCCTTAGCCAATGTACAATAATTTGATCACTTAATTTGGCTAAACAATATAATGACCCAATGTATCAATTACACATGTTTAATCCCAAAATAGATCTAACAATCTCCCACTGGATTAAATATGTGTCCTGACGATACATTATACCTTATGAGCTCAAAATATGGTCATTATTACAGAACTTGAACAATCTGGTCCACTAATCACAACAATATAGGGCTAATGCAGTTTTCGCCGTATAGACACAACTAAACTATCAATAATCACATATATCACCATGATTAAATGACATAGATCAAATTGTGGAATATGTGGCATGAAAATTACATGAATGTGATCAGCACATGTCAATTTTCAACTAGTCCAAACTTAATGAGATCGTTAAGTACCGAAACATAATGTACAAAGTGTCATGAACCAAAACTTTATTTCTGATCAGAATAAGTACTTTACATATCATCGAACAACATGACAAAAAAAAGTAGCAAATGCTCCCACCAGAGTGAAGCTTCCTGAATATGTAACACACCCATATGAGCAGTATGCTCGTGAAATACCATAGGTGTTACACCTTTAGTTAGGGGATCTGCTAACATAGATTTTGTCCCTAAGTGTTCGATAGAAATTTGACCACTTTGTACCCTCTCCTTCACAGCTAGGAACTTAATGTCAATATGCTTTGACTTAGACAAGCTCCTATTGTTGTTGGAGTACAGAATGGCTGATTTATTGTCACAAAAGATCTTGATAGGTCTTTCAACCTCCGGAATGATTTGCAGCCTTGTGACAAAGTTCCTTAACCAGATTCCCTGGTGTGATGCCTCAAAACACGCCACAAACTCAGCTTCCATAGTGGAAGTGGTAACAAGTGTTTGTTTAGCACTACGCCAGGAAATAGCACCACCAGCCAACATAAATAAGTTCCCAGACGTAGATTTCCTACTGTCTTGGCACCCAGCAAAATCGGAGTCAGAATATCCAACGATCTCCAAATGATCTGATCTCCTATATGTGAGCATATAATCCTTAGTTCTCTTAAGATATCTCATCACCCTTTTGGCTGCTTTCCAGTGATCCAATCCAGGATTACTAAGGTATCTACCTAACAAACCAACTATATACGCAATATCCAGACGCGTACATACTTGAGCATACATTAGGCTCCCAACTGCCAAGGCGTAACGGACCTTTTACATTTCTTGGATTTCCAAATTTCCCTTTGGGCATTGACTTAGGCTAAATTTGTCTCCTTTAGCCACAGGGGTATTTCCTGGTTTGCTGTTCTGCATGCCAAATCTCTCAAGTACTTCATCGATATAGCTCTTTTGTGATAATCCTAGAATACCTCGAGATCGCTCTTGGTGTATCTGGATTCCTAATACAAAAGACGCTTCACCAAGATCTTTCATCTCGAAGTTACTCGAAAGAAATTTCTTTGTTTCGTGCAACATGCACATATCGTTTGTAGCAAGCAGAATGTCATCCACATACAAAACCAGAAAAATAAATTTACTCCCACTGAACTTGTGATAAACACAATCATCAACGACATTCATCTCAAAACCATACGAGATAATTACTTGATGAAATTTGTGATACCACTGTCGAGACACTTGTTTGAGCCCATAGATGGATTTTCTTAATTTACAAACCATTTTCTTCGGGTCATCGACCTCAAAGCTTTCTGGTTGTACCATATAGATCGTTTCATCAATGTCACCATTGAGAAACGCCGTCTTTACATCCATCTGATGGAGCTCCAAGTCAAAATGTGCCACTAGAGCCATGATTGTTCTAAAAGAGTCCTTCGAAGAAACTGGAGAAAAGGTCTCTTTATAGTCAATCCCTTCCCTTTGAGTATAGCCTTTAGCTACAAGACGTGCTTTATACCTCTCCGCATTACCATTTGCATCCCGTTTGGTTTTAAAAATCCATTTGCAACCAACGGGTTTTGCACCTTCTGGCAACGGGACAAGTTCCCAAACCTTATTTTCTTGCATCGACTTATACTCTTCACGCATCGCTTCGATCCATTTATTTAAGTTGGGATCCTTCATGATTTGTTTGAGATTGATCGGATCATCCTCATTCAAGCCACCCACATCCTCATTTTCTTGAAGAAACACCAAATAATCATCCGGAATGGCATTTCTCCGTTCTCTATTGGATCTACGCAGAAGCGTTGGCTGTTGAACTGTATGTTTTTGAGTTTGTTGGGTTTGCTCTATAGGAGCTGGAATGACTATTTGCTCTTGAGGGATCAGGTCAACCACTTTAGTGATTTCTTGATCCTCAAAAGTAAAGTTGCAAACTGTATTTCTCCCCTCAAAATCAACATTCTCAAAGAACGTGGCAGTACCCGTCTAAAAAATATTTCCTGATGTGGGATCATAAAATTTATACCCCTTTGACCGTTCCGAGTAACCAATGAAATGACTGCTCACCGTACGAGGTGCTAGCTTTGGTTCATTTGGCCTATAAGGCTTCGCATCAGTTGGACAACCCCACACCCTAAAATGGCGTAAGCTAGGCTTGCGCCCAGTCCATAATTCAGAGGGTGTTTTAGCAGTCGCCTTAGTTGGTACTCGATTAAGGATGTAGACTGCAGTCTTTAGTGCTTCCCCCCATAAGGATCGTGGTAAAGTAGATTGGAAAATCATACTTCGAACCAATATCCTTTAATGTGCGATTACGTCTTTCAGCAACACCATTCATGCTAGGCGAACCTGGCATAGTGTACTGAGGGACAATTCCACACTCCTTAAGGAAGTCAGCAAATGGGCCCGGACGTTGTTCACCAGATCCATCATTTCTGCCGTAATATTCACCTCCACTATCAGATCTGACGATCTTAATGCGTTTGTTGAGTTGATTTTCAACTTCAGCCTTAAATGCTTTGAACATGTCCAATGCTTCAGATTTTTCCCTTATGAGGTATAGATAACCATATCGAGAATAATAGTCTATGAATGATACAAAGTATTGTTGACCATTCCACGAAGGTATAGGAAATGGCCCACAAATATCCGTATGTATCAACTCTAAGACTTCCGTAGCTCGATAAGCACCTATCCTCTTTACTTTGGTTTGTTTACCTTTAATGCAATTGACACAAACATCAAAATCCAAAAAATTAATAGAATCAAGAATTCCATCCTTAATGAGTCTTTCAACTCTATTTCTCGAAGTATGTCCCCAAACGTTTATGCCAAAGCACACTTGATTCATTTAATTTTTGCTTAGTACCTCTTGATTCCACATTCAGGGTTTCATTATAAGAAGTTATAGTGTTGAGCATATATAAATCATCATTTTCCATAAAAGTACCGAAACCAACCACATCAGAATTAAAAGACAACACAACCTTATTGTTTCCAAATGAACAATAATAACCAGATTTGTTCAAATAAGAAACAGAAACCAAATTCCGTCTAAAAGACCGTATGGCAAAAGTGTCTTTCAATTCAACAAAATGTCCAGTACATAACAATAATTTAAATATGCCCACAGCTTCCATATCCACCGATTCCCCATTACCAAAGTAAATGCGTCTTTCAGCATCAGCTGGTTTTCGGTGGCTTTGGCAACCCTGCATTGAAACACTGATGTTAGTAGTTGAACCAGAGTCTAACCACCAAGTGTTTCGAGGTACTGAAGCTAAATTAACTTCAGAACAAACCAGATTAAAGAATGTACCTTTCTTCCCGCACCAGGTGGAGTACTTAGCACAATCTTTCTTTAAATGTCCAGGTTTCTTGCAGAAGAAGCATAAAATCTCCTCCGGTTTAACCTTTGGATCTGGACCCTTAGCAGTCTCAACCGTAACGGCCTTATGCTTTCTTTTAAAGCCACCAGCATCTTTCGAGGTACCAATCACATGCACCTCTTCAGCCCGATTATGCTTCATTCTTTCTTTTTCCTCAACACAGTGAGAAATGAGCTCATTAAGAGTCCACTTCTCCTTTTGGCAGTTGTAACTGACCTTAAACTGATCGTATTGAGTAGGAAGAGAGAGTAGGACCAATATGACAAGCATGTCCTCCGAAAGGTCTAACTTTAGTGCCCTCAACTTAGAAGCAATATTGGACATCTTGAGGATGTACTCCCTTATGTTGCCTTTGCCGAGATACCTCATGGTAATGAGTGTCTTTAAAAGAGTACTCATTTCCGCCTTATCGCTTTTAGTAAAGCGCTTTTCAATCTCGACAAGGAACTCTTTAGCCAGAGTGATATCATCAGATATCGTTCCTCGAAAGATTTCTGGAATGCTTTTCTTTATGATCATAAGACTTAGGCGATTAGACCTTTCCCACTTCTCAAAGCACTATTTTTCCTTAGTAGTACTGTTCTCCGTAAGAGAAGCAGGTTGGTCTATCCTTAATGCCAAGTCTAGATCCATACATCCCAAATGAATCAAAAACTTTCCAGTTCTTAAAGTTATCCCCAGATAAAGTAGGGACTGGATAGTTAGTAGATACCATAGATGAAGAACCTGAAGAGAATAATAA